AAAAAAAAAAAAAAAAAAAAAGGCTGCAGAATCCCAAGGTGGAGCAGGAAGGAGGGTTTTTCAGTTCGGTTTCCTGATCGGCATGCTGGTTGCAGAGGTTCATCCAGCATCTGAAAATTCAATGAGCTGGATACTTATTAAAGGGGCATGAGGAAGCATTCCAGGGTAATGAATATGTTGATTTCTTGATTGTGGTGATGGCTTCAGAGGTGTATTCATAAGTCAATATTTATTAAATCACGGGTTTAAATGTGTACATCAATTATACCTGAATACAACTGTTTTATATTTGTACATATACATATATGTATATGCATCTATATAATACACATATATAATAGAAAAAGCAATTCTTCTAGAAATAGCTTTTTTAAAAGATAGTTTGGCAAATGGCAGAGAAATGTTAAGGACCCACTAAGACTAAATTGAGTCTTTCTTCTTATCACAACCAAAAGGTTGAAAAAGAATTAGTAGGAAACTTTTTATCCCCCACTCCTTGATTCCATTTTAATGAGTCCCAACACTCTGAGGGCCACCCTGGACCAATACATCCATTGCTCCAGAGACAAAACCTGAGAGAATACAGTGTATCAGAAAGAGTAGCAGGCCTAGAACTTCATGATGCCAGCGTGGTGGTCTTCTTCTCCAATATGATACCTCTTTGAAGAGAACAATGCGTAGAAACGGGATCATGTGGGGTAGGAATTTTGTTAACAACAAAGATTATTTATTTTCTGCACGATAACACTGTTGCCCAGGTAATGTTAGCATAGATTGCAGGGTTTGATTGGCTTGCAGGTGCTAGTGGCAACCTCGTGCCATTTTTTCTTGCTTAATACATCGAATAGAAACAAAGAATTTAAAAAATATTAAGAAGAAATACATTGATTTCAAATTATTTAGTGACAAGGCCAAGTCTGTGTTAAATGGTAAAAAGTAATAATAATAAATTATCTCACAAAAACAATAGCAAGGCCTCAGGGCCTTCAGACTCTCATCTATGCACCACTGTAGGCTGCTGCTTGAGCAAGCCCCAAGCATCTTTGCAAGGTTGCCCTTGTGACTCTGGCCTCTGCCTCTTCCCTTCTTAACTCTCCTGCCTGCAGAGCAATGTCATAGTTACTTAGCCTGTCAGATCCTGGTTTTAGCTCATTTCTTCCTGTTTCCACTCTAGTTACCCAGGCAAACAATCAGTCAGGAGCCCCCAATACAGCATCTACTTCCCTAGGCAGAAGGGGAGATGCAATGGAGAAAGAGTTTTGTCTGGGAGCAAGAGCTCATGTAGCAAAGCCACTGGAGAACACAGACGGGTGGTGTTCTGTGTGGTCACAACTACAAGTGTTCAGGACAGGGAGGGTAGAGAGTTAAGAAAGCTTCAGGAGGAAGGGAGGTTGGAGTTGAACTGGGAAGAATCTGGGGACGGGGCATTAAATGACCTTGACCAATTTGTAAAATCATGTTTTCTCTCTTCTCTTTGCTAATAACATAAAAATGAATAAATATATATATATAGATATATAGATAGATATAGCTGTAGAAATAGAGAGATAGATGAACTTTTAGTGGTCTTCATGGATCCAAATTATCACATCAAGCCAGAGTAAATGTAATAGGAGACATTGTGAAGGAGAGCGATGACAGTGGGCTCAGGTCCCAGATCCTCCACTGCCCGACCCTGGGCGAGACTTTTAATCTGCCTAAGCTTCAGTTTCCTATAAAATTGAGATGACACCTACTTTCCAGGGTTGCTGTGAGTGTCAAATGTCATACTACAGAAGGCCAAGCACAGTGCCGGGCACAGAGTAGCTTTTCTGTCATCGTTTACATAAAGATAGAAGTCTTGCACATTTAAGTCTTCTATGCATTTCTTTTAAGTATAGGAGTCTTTGGAGCTCAAGTATCAAAAGTATTATTTCTAAATGGATAATGAAAAGAATGTCTCACATCCCATTCTTTAAGAAAAATAGAGGAAAAGATGATATAGTCTGGTAAAAGAAAGGGAAAGAAAAAAATATGCTTAGAACATAATCATGATTTGTTTATCAGATGATCATCTTTTGTAGCTTTAGGAAAAAACAGAATTAATCATACCACAGTAAAGGGAAATATAAAGAGGATATCAGCTATGGAGATGTCAAAAGTATCACAGATAATACCAAATCCCACACTTACCAACACCTATTCCATAAGTGGTCAAATAAAAAGAAATTCCTGAGTCCACTTTCTTATCCACTGTTTCAAAATCCATTTTGAAATGAATTTTGTATACTGAGAAGCTCTGAAAACCAATGGTACTTTATAATC